TCTATCTCTGTAACAATTGCGACCAAGGGCAAATAACAAACCCTCCAAGTTTCATGTTCTCTTCTGTAAAATGAGGGCTTTGGACTTCATTGCCTCTAAGGTCTCTTCTAACTCTGACATAGTTGACAGAAGCTCATCTTGTCTTGTAACAAGACCTGGGTTAGAATCCTAGCTGTGACCTTAGCTGTGTGATCCTGAGTAAGTCTCTGAGAATTAGCTTCCTTATCTCACAACCCAGTTGGTTTAATAAAATTGCTTAAAGTCTTAGAGAAGGATGTGTTGCTTTTGCCAAGAGTAGTACTAGGAATAGTAATGGTAACTATCATTTCAGCTTCCAGGCCAAATTATTCACAGAGGTGGGCTGTGTTCATAATCACCATGCTACCCTATGACTATGCCCCCAAAATTTCTCTGTATAAGTTAACAAAAGTTAATTATTAAGTGCTTATTATGTGCCAAGTGAGTACAGGACTATAGGTTTATAGTAAGTATCAGGCTGAACTAATTCCTATAACACCTGTAATACCAGGCAATTTTCAGTAATAAATTCTTCAAAGCTTAGGCTTAGGTTCCTCAAAATGTATTAGGAAGAATCCTGGGTCTCAAAACCTAGGTTCAAATGTTGACTTTGCCACCACCTATGTGACCTCATTCAAGTCATTTTACTACCTTGATTTCCTTGCCTGTAAGTGAAAAAAGAGAATTTTGGGGCAGCTACATGACGCAGTGGATAGAGCACCAGCCCTGAAGTCAAGAGGACCTGAGTTCAAATTCAGCCTCAAAACAAACACTTGACACTAGCTGTGTGACCCTGGGCAAGTCACTTAACCCCAACTGCCTAAATTTAAAAAAAGGGGATTTTTATTAGGTTATATCTAAACTATATTTTACATAGCTCTCTCCTATGTAGTAAATGCTTCTTACAAGGAGATGTATATCCAAATTGTACAGTAAAACAATTTTGTTAAATTTATGAAAAGCAGTGAGATATAATGGAAAGGACTTTGGTTTTGAGTTAGGAAACTAGGTCTGGATTCTGAACTTTACTCATTGTGTGACCTTAGGTGAATCACTTGTTTTATCTGAGTCTCGATGACCACACCTGTAAAGTAGGTATAATAATAATGCAATTTCCCCCTTCACAAGACTGTTCTCCAGAAAACATTATGACATAGGACTAAAACTGAAAGGGACCTTAGTGGTCATCTAGTCCTACTCCCTTGTTTTTTGCATAAGGAAAGTGAGACCCAGGATTACATGACTTGCCTAAGGTTTACATTGAGAATGACAAAGGCAAGTCTTCTCACTCCAAATTCAGAGTTCATTCCACTGTTCATCTAAATCTTAAAGTGCTGTAGCAATGAGGGCTGTTACTGTTATCATGTGTGACATGGTTGTTTGTGTATAGGGTTCATCTTGTTTCTGTATTCCAAGCTGCTTGAAGTTACAGACTACATTTATTCATAGAGCTATCCAGAGCAGGCTGCTGTTAACAGGTAAAGGGCTTAATAATTGTTTTTCATTTTTAAATGGGAATAGCTGACTTTCAATCTTATCTCTGTTTCTTACTTACTACACGATGGTAGCCAAGTCATTCCCACTCTTGGGACCTCAGTTTCCTCCACTATTAAATGAATGAATTGAACTGGAAAATTCCTTATAATTCTAAATAAATCATAGTCAAGGTCCATCTCCACCCCAATAGGCATGTAACCTGTCCCCAACGTCAGCATGAAGTAGTGGAAAGAAGGATTTGAAGTCAGTGCATCTTCGTCTTCTACTTTACCATGTAAGTGTTCTTAACCTTTCTGGGCCTCAGCTCATTCCTCTGTCAAACCTCAAGAAGATAGGTGGTGTCCCTTGAAGCTCCCTTATTCTAGGAGGCAGGGAAGCCAAAGTGGTTAAAGAATAGATTCTGAAAACAAGAAGAAATCTTCGAGGTCTTGACCAGCCTAAATCTACTTGTGAGAACAAAATGAATGTTTTATATATTTTGAAACACTGATGTATATGCGGATAATCGAAGGGCTAATCATAGTTCATTCTGATCTATTCATTAAAACATCTCTAGGGTACACTTTCATACTCTAAGCACTTGAAAGCAATTAAAGTGCTTCTATTTAAATTAAAGTTATTCAGACATTTCAATGTAACTTTCTTTCCCCCAAGTTAAGAATCAAGTATTGAGGATTTTAAGATTACAGGATTGAAAACTGGAAGGGATCTAAGCAATTCTCTAATCCAAATCATCTCATTTGACAAAGGAGGAAACTGGGGCCAAAGAAGTACAGTGACTTGTTATATAGGAAGTATGGCGTAGGAGAAATAGCAGTGAGCCTAGACTCAGAGGAAAGACCCAGGCTTGATTTAATTCAATTCAACAAACATTTATTAAGTACCTGCTATACATAAGATACTGTGCTGAGCATTGGAGGTACAAAGACCAAGAGAGAGGGGGGATGCAGAGGGGGAAGAAAAAAGTAGAGAGACAAAGACAGGATAGAGATAGAAACAGAGACAGGACAGAGACAGAGCCAAAGAGACAGAAAGAGAGTGCATTCTACTGGGAGTCAGCTGAACCTGAACTCTCCTCCTAACTCTATCCCTAAATCACAACATAACCATTTTATAGAGAGAAATCAATACTCCAGGTTAAAGTTGAACTAATTGGTCAGTAAGGTCCTCTCTAGTCCTAAGATTTTATTATTTCTATGATCTTATATCACTTTGCCTCCTTGAGACTGTTAGCAAAAGGAGAAAGTCTGACTAAATGACAACTAAGGTCCCTTTCAATTTCAGATCCTAAATAGAGTCAGGATCGGAAACAAAGTTTCTTCTGACTACAAACCTGGAACTCTTTCCATGACACCCAAAGCTAATGTAGGAATGGGCTAGAAAACAAGGGGGGGGGAGAATATTTTTTTTTTCCTTTTGCCCTAGTAGTCAAGAACAAACAGGTTAAAGTGAATAGTTTTATCGTCTCTCCTACATGTCTCAAGGAGAATAGACTGCTAAGGAGCTGCCTTTGACGGGACAAAGATGGTTTTGATGTGCTCTGAAAGGGAGATTTTGTCTTCTGCCTTACAGGTATAAGTAGTGTAAAGCTTGTCCTAACAGGATATACTTCAGTCTCTCATTCAACTTACAATCAGAGACTCTTAGGCCTGGAATAGAGCCTTGGTACACGCCAAGTCCAATCCAATAGCTTTAAAGGGGAAGAAACCAAGGCCCAAAGAGAAGTGACGTCCAAAATTATATAGTAAGTTGGTGATTAATAGAGCTGCAACCGGACCTCGGCATTACAACATCCTACCCTGCTCAGCTGCATTCTGCCACGATATGGAATCACCAGTAGCATGAGAGAAACCAAGGATTTCTGGTGTCCATGTGGTGGCCCTGCTGTGAGTTACTATCATTGCATACACCTGTATCTAGAACTCTACAGAGGCAGCTAGATGGTACAATGAGTAAGAGAATTGTGCCTCAAGTCAGGAACACCTCTGTTCAAATCCAGCTTCAGGCACTTCCTAGCTGTGTACCTGTGGGCAAGTGGCTTAACCTTTGTCTGCCTCAGTTTCCTCATTTATAAAATGGGGATAACAATAGCCCTAACATGCCAAGGTTGCTGTGAGGATAAAATGAAATTATATCTGTAAATTATATCTATATATTATATTGTCTATATATAATATATGTTAGATATTATATATAGGTATTATATATTTCTATCTATAATTTATATATTACATATAAATTATATCTATAAAGTGTTTTGCAAACCTCAAAGTGTGATATAAATGCTAGTATTATTATTATTAATCTATGTCTATAAAACATGTGCACAATCAGAAAACAGGATCTTTAGAACTGGAAGAGACTTTAGAAATCCCTTCAGAGGAAGGAGCTGAGGCCCAGAGTGGTGAAGTATAGTTTTGAGAACAAGAAATACAATAGTTCTGCTTTCCTCTGCCCTAGTCAGGCCCCCTAGTCAGGCCACACCATAAGTACTATGTCTCCTTCCAAGTGTGACAATTGCAGAAGGATACGGATAAGCTTCAACATTTACAGAGGAAGGAAGCCTGGAAAGTGAGTGGATCAGAAAACATGTCCTCCCAGCTCTTGTTGCAGGTGCTGAGAATGATTAGCCTGAAGAAAAGAAGACTTAGGGGAAAAATCAATTTCTTAAAACATTTGAAGGATGATGATCTTTCAGATTTGTTTGACTTGGTTCCAGAGGACAAAACTAGGTATAATGGGGAAATTTTACAAGAAGGTGAATTTCGATTTAACATGTGAACAAACTCATTAACAATTAGAGCCATCCCAAAAAAGGATGGGCTGCCAGAAGAGGTAGTGAGTTCCCTATCACTAGATGTCTTCAAGTAGAGGCTAGATCCATACCTCTTTGGGCCTTATTTGGAGATATCATAGAGAAGATTCTGGTCAAATTGGACTAGATGTCCCCCAAAGTCCCTTTCTACTCTAATGTCCTGTGATTCTAAGTGACTTGCTCATGGTAAAACAATAAATCACACTTTACATGGCTAAAGCCCAAGATGCAGCCTGGTACAATGGAGAGAACACTGGATTTGGAGTCAGAGGACTTTGGTTCAAATCCTTATTCTACCATTTATGACCTTTGTGACTATTGGGCAAGTCACTTAGCCTCCCTGAACCTCAATTTCCTCATTAGTAAAGTGAGGGTGTTGAACTATTTGTTTTTTTAAGGTCCCTTTGAAGCTATGATCCTAGAATTTTGTTGGAGGTGTCCACTAGACAGTTAGGATAAGTGGAGCCCCTTCCCAGCCATAACCCTAAATCCCCAATTTAGACTGAATGGTCTAGAAAGCGTATTTGTATTGGTGAGGTACACATGCTCATGGGCTTAGTATTATATTCTCTGTGTTCAACCCCAAGTCAGGTTCCATGGTTTCATATAAAATTTAGAAATAATGAGTCACTGCTTGGCCTGGAAAAAGGGAGAAATAATATGTACTGACCTTCCCTCCTCCTTGACTGGTGACATCTGGAAAAACAAAAGCACAAAACTCATATAATGAAATTTCCAAACCTTTAATGAAGGAAAAGCTTTGTATCTATCTAGCAAGATTTCTTGACTTATCAAAGACAGAGGACAAGAGTTATGACTATGTCAGAGTAGTAGATTTTATGACATTTTACCAGCATTTATTTACCCCAAGGTTACTAGGGATGAAACTATTCTGAGACTGGAAAAGGAAAAGATCATGGCCAGGAACTGATTGACAAGCAGTATGGTAAAGTTTAACCTGACATGACCTGACATGAAAGTGAGAAAACCTAGGTTCCAGCCCTGGCTTTGCCACTGGTTTTCAGTGTGACTTTGGATAAAATTCTCTCCCTCTCTGGGCTTCAAGTTCTTCCTCTATAAAACAGGTTTAACTATATTAAAGTTCTTTCCACTACGGCTGTAACATTCTGGAATTCTCGAAATTCATAACTGGGTAGGAGAATCATGTCCAAGAGATTTGACCCACCAAAATAATTTGACTAAATCAGTGTCTGTAAAGGAGGGCAATCACATTAGTAGGGGGTTTAAAATCACATTGTACAGGGGCAGCTAGGTGTTGCAGTGGATAGAGCACTGGCCCTGGAGTCAGGAGAACCTGAGTTCAAATTTGGACCTCAGAAATATAACACTCACTAGCTGTGTGACTCTGGGCAAGTCACTTAACCCCAATTGCCTCACCAAAAACAAACAAACAAAAAAAAAAACCACCCTGTTGTACAAATTAGAAACTGGAGATCTTTCTTTCATTTGGGGAAGAGAAGTCTTAAGGGTCAAAAGGGGGGTATTTGACTTTAAATATTTTTGTTCTGGTTAAGCCAAGAAGACAAAACTGTTGGGAGCTGCTGAAAGACATGTTTCATTTTGATATATGGGAAACATTAGTAATTATCAAAGCTGCCCCCAAATAGAATGAATAGCATTGGAAAGTAGTGAGTTCCCCATTACTAGAATTCTTCAAGCAAAGGCTGGATAACTTTATGCTCGTCAGGGATATTGCAAGGAACTAGGAGTCCCTGTCAGTTCTGAAATTCTATGATCATGGTTTGAGATAAAGAAACTGATGACCCAAAAGGGGAAATGACTTGTTTAAGTTAATGACAATGTCAAGATTTCTGAAATCAGATCTTTTTACTATAAATCATAACCCTAATTCTCTCTAATATACCATAGATGCCTAATATTTTAGGGAATTAAATTCATTAAACAATTAAATAATTTTAAGCATAGTGAAATGCAAAGAACTTGGGACTGGGAGGCAGAATTATTCAGATGACTAAGTATATACCTACGTGGAATAAAGCCAATTAGTCACATAAAATTTGGGATTTTTTTTTCTAATTAACTTCAACTATACTACTGTCTGAACTGTTTAGAACTATATGTCCCTACTTGCTCCAGCTCAGGCCATAGGTGTAGAGAAAATTCTTAGGAGCACAAGAGGAGGATGAAATTTAAAATTTTAAATCCAATCCAATCCTTAAATCCAAGTCTTTAAATCCAATGAGATGACTCTCATTATCATTCTTCACAAACTCTCAAAACCAAAAAGGATTTTAGAACATAAACTATAAGATGACAGAACTAGAAGTTACCTTACAGTACATCTATCATAACCATTGAGTCATTCATTTTACTTCCCAAGAACTTTACCCAAGTCATGCATCAAATTAGTGACACAGTTAAGATTTAAATGCAGAGATATTGACTCTCAACTTAAGACTCTTTTCACTACTCTATGGTAGGAGGAGGTAGGTCAGGAGAAATAAATAACCTAAAGAATTCAGCCTATTTACTTGCTTTGTGTAGCAAGACAATCTTTGTTCATATGACAAAAGCCACCAAATTGGAATAGTTAATACAGGGTGTAGGGTAATACTGACATAGAAATATTTTGACCATTTATACAAATGTTAATCATTAAGATGGTCTCCAACACTGTTTTGGCTGATTGTATGCAGACATGGGCTCATTCTCTAACCCAGGAAATCTTCCATTCCTGTGCCCAAGAAAAACATTGACAAGTTGGAGTAGGTAAAGAGGAAGGTGTCCAGGATGGTAAATGGAATAAAATCGGTGCTATATGAGGAAATCAGAGTATTGAGCCTGGAGGAGGAAGGGAGATTGTAGAACATATATTTATTGCCTTTTTAGTTATTTTTGAAGTATTACCATGTAGATGAGAGATTAGGCTTGTTTGTCTTGCTCTCAGAGTTTAAAACTAGGAACAATGGGTAGACAGTGGCCCCCAAAAGTGACTTGACTGAAAATTAAACATTGCAATGATCAAATCATTCCCTTAATCCAATAAATCTGTTATCCCTGTGTCCAACAAGGAAACCTTCTTCTGCCCTAAAAATTTTGGCCCAGGACTAAACAGTTTTCTGAGTGAGGTCTGACTTACATGGAAGACAGCAGGAATTTAGCTTCCCTAATTCTTGCCCTCAGGCTTCCATTAGTGTCTCCTGAGATTTCATTAGTTAATTTGATTGCTATGTCACACTGTTGATAATTGTTGGCAATTCCAGTCCATTGAGACCACCCCCATCTCAGGAACTTCGGATGTGAATTGTTTGTCTAGCTACATATCATCCCATCTTGTCCTTCAAAATGATCTTATGCAGAGCCAGTCCCTCTACCATTTTTTAAAGTACTGATTCCTTTAAAGATGTATCCATTATCAGTCTCTGCCCTGGTCAGAAAAGTATAGTTGCCAAATAAATGGAATACTAACAAATTAATAACATACCCAATAATCATTGGAACTCACCTGAAAAGAAGCAGAAAAGAGCCAGAGAAAGAAGTACAAAGGCACCTGTTGCTTTCATGGTGGCCAAGTGAGACTGCTCCAGCTAAACCAGCTATGGTGAAGAAGTGTTCCACATAGCATACATATATATAGACATGGTATTGGGAGTGGGAATCCCCACCTTGTTTATAAAATCACCTTCTAAAGTTACCTCCAACCCTAAAAGGGAAGATATTTATTGGAGCATGTCATGAACTTAAAGGAATGTTTTATGCTCCACATCATTGGGAGAAATTAGAACAATTATGAGTCGCACCTTAGATCTCATTCATTAAGAGGATATAGCCTTCAAGGGACAGGTAATCTCCATTTTTCTGACCAACCGGTCCCTTTCCCAAGATTTCCACTGCCTTCAAGCAGGTGAGTCACCAGGGAAGGTGAATCACTGGGGAAGCTCTGGCTGATCTCTGTATGGAGCTGCCCAGCTGAGACCCATTAACACTGGTCCTAATGATTCACTCTAGAAGAATGAAGGGTCTTGATGAAGTAAGTGTTGAGTGTGACTTTAATTTTGGAAGGGTCTCGATCTTCCCAGGAGCCGTAGGAGAGAGACAATAATTCTTTTTTTCATTGCCTCAATGTCTTAGTTTGTAAAATGTGGATAATATTACTTGCACTTCCTAACTTACACCTAATTCACAGAGTTGTTTGAGGAAAAACTTAAATAGTATAGAAATGTATTTTTAGTAGAATTTATTTTCTGAGGGTAAAATTTTCTATTAATAAGATCTAAATGTGAGTCATACAATTGTCTTAATATTTGGATCTTTTGCCATCCTTTCTTTAAGTCTAATTCATATTCTTATTCTCTCTCAAAGCTTTCCCTGACTTCTCCAGTTAGAAGTGATCTTCCCATCTGATCTCATAGCACATTTTATTACTTTCCTTTTAGATATTTATATTCTAATTTGTAATATATATGTGCATATAGAAAAAATATATATATATAGTCTTTTCTAGAAGCTGTTTAGAGTAATGAATAGAGAGATGGCCTGGAAGCCAGAAGTAATAAAAAATAATAACAGCTAATATTCTTAGATCTGTTCAAGGTTTCCAAAATACTTAAACTTGCATTATGCGTACCATCATCACTAAAAATATGAGATGTAGGTGCCATAATTATCTCCATTTTACAGATGAGGAAGCTGAGGCAAGCATGATTAAGTGGTTTGCTCAAGATTACACAGCTTGTAAATGTCTGAGGAAGGATTCAAACTCTCACCTTCCTAACTCTAAGTCCAGAACCTTGAATTCAAGTTTCATTCTGATATGTACTTAGCTGTGTCATCTTGAGCAAGTCATTTAATTTCTCAGAAATCCAGGTGACTCACTAAGACTATGAGTTTTAGAGAATATGCTGACCTACATTGGTAAAAGGAGTTTTCTCATCGGAGATTTCAGTACCTTTCCTTATCCCCTAAACACTCTTACTTGATAAACTCCCTTACTTGATAAACTCCCTGAGGGTAGGATTCTGTCCTGTTTATAATATTTGCCTTCCTTCTCAGTGCTGAATACAAACAGAGTCATGCAAAAAATAAGTGAAGGAACAAATGTATGAAAGAAAAAAAAAAACATTAGGTGTTCACAATAATCCAGACACCTTGCTAAACTTAATGTCATTGTTAAATGAATTAATAAATGAATCTTATAACCCTACCCCCCAAGCCCCTTCCCTTTCTCTAGCCTGCGCTGATGTTTAAACAAAACATTGCTTATGGGATAATTATAGACTCCTCAGTCTGACATTCAAAGCTGGCTATGCTATGGCCAACACCTATCTCTTTGACTTGAACACACTTGACTCCCTTTCACAGACTACAGTCCAAGTCCAAAGTCAACAAGGTACTCACTATCTTCCAAATGTGCCACAATATTTTCCTATCTCTGTATCTTAACTTATTCTGCTCCTTACACCTGGAATATCCTGTTCCACTCAGTAACACTTGTGACCATTAAAATTCTGTGCATCTTTCAAAGCCTATTTCAAATGCCACCTCCATCACTAAGCCTTCTATGATTTTCCTGAGTTGAGAATGATTGCTTTCTCACATGAAGCCATAGTACTTTCTAATCCTCTTATTTGCTTATCATGTTTGATTAGTATTATATTCATCTATACATATTTTTCTCCCCTTCCGATATTGTAAGTCAGTTGAGGGAAGGAACTTTGTCTTTCTTTGGTTTATATCTTCCCAAGTGCTAAGAAGAGTAATGGTTTGACTCTAACAGGTGTTTATGATATGAATAAACCCAGCATCTGAGATAGGGCTCCGTAGGTTGTGCCTGTGGTTTAAATGATATCATTTGCAGCTGGAGTGTTGCACACAGTTATGGCTCCACAGTTTTAGGAAGGACACTGATATATCCAATCCCTATCCATATCCTTTGTAGGACTACATGTTGCTTTCTCTGATAGAATGTAAGCTCCTTGAGGGTAGATAGGATTTCATCTTTGTGCCTGTATCTCCAAAGCCTACTATTGTGCCTAGAATGTAAGTCAATTTAATAAGTGTTTATTAAATAAATGACTTAATAGTAGCAAGAAGCAGCAACAAGGAATAGTGATAAGTGTATTGGACGTGGACTTAGGAAACCCTGAGTTCAAATCCTGCCTCAACCACTTACCAGCTGTGTAACCCTGGCAAAAGAATTATTTTGCACTCTTGGCCTCGATTTTCTCACATATCAAACGAAGGGGTTAGACTAACTAGCTTCTAAGGTCCCTTACAGCTCTAAATCTACGCTTTCATGAACTTTGAAAACCTGACAGAAATGAGCCCAGGTAACACTTTCTAATATTTGAAGTCAAAGGAAAGTGGAGTGGGCTAGCTGAAAGGTGGCAAGTTTCCCATCATTAGAAGTCTTCAAGGAGAAGTTGCCTGGCCATTTGTTAGGTAGGCTGTATGAGTATTTGTTTCTAGGTAGTGATTAGGCTAAATGACTGCTAGGGTCCCTTTCAATTCCACAATTTTGTAACCTTATAAAATAAGGACTAAGAAGAAGGAAACCAACTTCGGTGCCAAAGGGAAACCAGAGGAATTCAGTAATCCAAGCAATCCAAGGCTCAATCTATCTATCTATCTATCTATCTATCTATCTATCTATCTATCTATCTATCTATCTATCTATCTATCTATGCTTATGTGGGTCAGTCATTGTTTTGTACAGCAGGTTCCAATTAAACCAGACCAATGAACTCCTCTCCCCTTGTGGTCAGACAGGCTATTCTCTTCCTTGGATGAGGAGAAGACAGAGGAATAATTTCTAAGTCACTTCTGAATAATTAATGAAATTCTGGACTGTACAGGGAGCCAGGCAGCATAGTATTATGAAAATGACACTGGGTTTTGAGTCAGAAGACCTAAAATCATATCTACGTTATAATATTAACTGGGTGAAGTTAAGAAAGCCACTTCACCACTCTGGGCCTCAGTTCCCTCACCTAAAAAATTAAGGAATTAAAAGAGATAATAACAATAGTCCACATTTATACAGCACTTTGAGGAATGCAAAGCATCTTACATAGATGATCTCATTTGAGCCTCACCACAACCCTATGAGGTAAGTACTATAATTATCCATATTTTATAGATAAGGAAATTGGGACTTAGAGGGGATAAGTGACACAGCTACTAAGTATCTGGGGCAAGAATTGAACCATAGTGTTCCCTGACTGTATGTTCAGTATTCTATGACAGTATCAAAGGTCCCACTCAGCTCTTATTCCACGATCCTATGATCTACATGTCGTTCCCTAATTTGTCCAACAATGTAGACAGTATCGTCTTTCTACTCATCTAATAGTCACTCTCAGGCACTTCCAAGGACAAATCTTTGAGGTTGTCCCCTCTCCCACCCTCTTTGCTTTTCTATCAAGGAACAGAGCCTTCTTTGGATTTCAGGTGAGAAGAATTCTATAAAGTTTGTCCTGCCTCTTTTCCCTGTTAACCAGATCGAAGAGAGGAATAGCATCATTTTCTTTCTATAAACTTACAAAACAATAATGAACAATCAAGGTGCATTGAGAAAAAAAGAGCCCTAATCTATCAAAAATGTGGTATGTAAGAACCCTATAAAAATGTATTTTCAATTAAGCAGCCAGGGTAATTTCGAAATGAGAGGTAATGAGCCTCATTTTAACAAACACACTACAACTCATGGGTGTTGTCCTTCAAATGACTAGTAGTCTTTAGCAACTTACCTTTCCATAGAACTTTGATGTTTACAAAGTATTCCCTCACATTTAACCTATAAATCCAAGTAAGCCATAGAACCTAAAGTTTTAAGGGACTTTAAAGACCATTCAATCCAACCCCATCATTTTACAAAGAAGGAAACTGAGACCAAGAGAGGTTAAATGACTGGCCCAAGGAAATGCAGTTAGTAAATAACAAAGCCGAACTCTGAATTGAAGTCTTCATATTCCTCATCCAGTGTTCTTTCTCTTCTCTTCTCCCATACAGCATAGACCATTAGAACTGGGAAGGCTCTTCAAGATCAGCTCCAACTCCCTTATTGTAGAGATGAGAAAATAAAGGACCAGAAAGTTTTAAGTGACTGATGAAAAAACTGATGAAAAAGCTTGTTAGTAGTAGAGCCAGATTTCCAAACTAGGCACTCTGACTTCAAAGTCGAGAATTTTCATATCTATCTCCATGATCTCTTACTTTTCATTCACATCACACCCACTCTAATTCAGGATCTCATGATTTCTCATTTTATCCATTGCAATAGGCTCCTAATTGGCATTCTTGCATCTAGGCTCCTCTGCCTCCCATCCAGCCCCTGCTCAGCTGCCAAATGGCTATTTGTAAGATACAGGCTGGACCACATCCCTCCCCAGCTCAGGAAACTATGGCCTCTCAGATAAAGTATATACTCCTCTCTTTGAGATTTAATGTCCTTCACAGCTTGCCAGCAGCCTGTCTTTTTCACATTCCTCCTCTTCCTCATACACACTATGTTCCAACCAAACTGCTTGATTTGTTACTCCCAGAATTCTGAATTCCATTCCATGTCTATTTCTTTGCACAGGC